CACAAATACCTTCAAGACATGAGTCTCAACTGTGTTTAACATCAAACTTTTCACACACCTTTGCCACTGATACTATAGAATACTAGAAACCCAGAAAAAAAGTATTCCTTATCTTATGAACCATATCTATACCCTTTTATATCAATTAATTGGCAATGCCTTAATGCGTGCAGCAGTTGAAATCACCAGAATTACCTAGACTTCTTTGTGACGTTGAAGAGACTTTACACCTCTTGTACAATGATCTTGCTTCCCCATATTCTCTACACACTGTAAAGAGGTAATCTGCATTTCTGCATTAACTATGTAACTTCAATTCTTATAAGCAAGATAGAAATATGATTTACATGTTACTATCACCAGAAATCACAGCAAATCTTTTTATGTTTCTGCATTTAAATGTGTTGGCTAACTTAAAAGAAAAAACTAAGGTGAAAAAGCAAATTGAACTTTATCAACATAATCTCTCTGTAGCAAAGGGATGTCTTGCATTTTCAGGAAAACAGAAAACAAATAGTTCTTTCTGAATAGAAACCATTCCAAAAGATTAATACAGCAAATATTCCTGTTAGTCAGTATATTTGAAGGAGAAAAAATAATAACAATTTCTTTGGCATAACTATCTGACATCCCATCTTCAGAACCATTCACACCAAAAAGTCTTTGCTAGAATTTACATTATAAATCTGTTCTCCCCCAGTTACTGTCAGTTTTGTGTGCACTATTGAATTTGTAGGCGAGGACTTTTTTCTTGTTTAATTATTAGTTTTCCTAGAACTCTCTATACCAATCTTTTACTCCCAAAACATTTTAAAATTGGAAAACTTCATAGGAGAGCGTAGCATCAACTATTTAGTGTTTTTGAAGGAGAATATACATGTTCTAGGCATGGACATTGGGATGACTTGATGAAGCCTGCTTGATTTGTCCTTAGGGAATAAATGTGAAAAACAGACATGTAGCTACGTTCAGCTGAATTCATGGTTTTTGTGAAACACAAACATTGCTGAATAAGTCTGTAAACATCTTTAATCAAGCTCTACAGAATTCTGACCACATTAAAAGCATTTGTCCATGCAAAAAGGCCTTGAACTGAAGGTATTCCAATACTGGTTCTACTGTCCAGTTCTTGTTAACTGAATGAGTCTCACCTACTTCTCTGATATGTGCATCTCTTCCTGCTGGTTAACAGCAATAGCTGTTTGGTCTGATGTAATAATTTTTCCTGAATTTAGAGTGTCATTTCTCTCAGTCTGACACAATGATGCTTGGACACAATAAACATCCATTGAATTTGTTATCATTTCTCTGTTTTAGCTTCATAAGTTTCAGGACCTCCTCCAAATAACATAATGGCAAAGCAGGAGCAAAATTTTAGCCTCTGAGCCATTACACAGCTTTGTTCCATTTTCCTGGAAATCTAAAATTTCAGATATACATTGGTTTTATTCAATTTAACATTAACTGTTTTGTAATCCTAATTTGATTACTCATGAAGCTATACATGAAGTACTTATTTGTAGGTGCTCATATTTCTGGTTTTTACAGCAGCCTCGCATCTGAACTGTTTCATTTGAAGGGTGACAGAAGTAAATCTGGAACAAATTACGGGTTTTCATGGTATCTTTACAGTTCATTGCTAAATTTCTGGGTCATTGCTGGGTTTAGTTTTTTTCTCAAATGAGATAAAATCTGATTAGCTAACTGTAATTTAGAGGAATGTAAGAGATATGCACCCTGTTTTAAAATGCAAAACAAGTAATAACCCTTCTAATTCATCTCAATAATTTGAACAAGTAATTCGGTGTTATTATTCTATAATGAAGCATATCAAAATGTCACTTATCATCTTAAAACTGTAAGAAATTAAAACCTGACTTTTCTTAATGCATGTATGTGTTAATAATAATTGGCCTGATGGGGTATACATACAGCATTCGACTAGCTGGGTTATTAGCCCATTTGCTAGTAGAATATTCAGTCCTGGGAGTTCCATGTTGCACAATACATGCAAGAAATTACTGTGTGTGTGTGCGTGATCACATTCTGCTCGCAGAATACATGCATATTTTTTCCAAGCGTTCATCACCAGGCTTCCCAAACCTCTTCTAAGGCATGGGGGCGTTTCCTCCTCGTTGTTTTGATGTTTCATCAAGTTCAGTCACCTCAAACGTTTATAGCTAAGCCTGAAGGGAAAACACACGAGTTACGAGTCCCACCTCGCTTAGGTGTGTTTGCATGGCGGAGGTTTGAAGCCACACCCCGAGTTTTGCCTCGAATTTCCAACTCGTGCGACGGCAGCACCTGAAGGAAAGCTCCGTGGACACACACCCCCCCCGGGCTCACCTCAGAAATTCTCCCTAGCGCAGGGCTGGGCCAGGCCGAGCCGCAGGGTTAGCCCGGCACGGCCACCGGCCAGGTGCGCTCAGAGAAGGTACCTGACAGCGGGCGGCGGTCACCGCCGGGGCCGACAGGGACACGGCGACCGACGGCGGTAGGGCACAACGGGGAGGGTTACCTCAGAAGGGGTCAGAGACCCCCCCAGCCCCAGAGAACAGGCAAGGACAAGGACATCCCCCCGCCCCCAGCTACGAGGGTGCGAATACCCGGATGCAGCCGCCCCGCCCGCGCCTCCCACACGTGTGAGGCGGCCGCAGAGCGCCCGAGCGCGCGGCCTCCCCGCCCCCGCCCGCGGGCCAACCGCCGGGGTGCGCACCCCGCCACCCCCCGCCGAGGGCGGTCCCGGCCGCAGAGCTCGCGAGAGGACATGTCCGCGGCGGCAGCGGGCGATGGTGAGGCAGAGAGAGCGGGAGGGAGCGGGCGGCAGGGTCAGGGGCAGAGTGCGGGTGGACGGTGCCGCCGCTGCTCGGCCGCGATTCCGTGCGGGGTCCGGGGGGTGAGGGGGGAGCCCCGTCACTTGACGAGCGGGTTGGCCGCGAGGCCGCCGCCGCGGCGGGGCCACAGGGCGGTGGGCGGCCCCCTCGAGACAGCGGTGCCCGCCCGGCCTGCGGTGGTCTGCGGGCCCACCCCGCCCGCGAGTGGCCTCCGTGCGCGCTGCCACAGCCATCTTAAGGAGGCTGAAGCGTGTGGGATCGCGCCTCGCCACCCTGGCTCGGCGCCAGCCTCTCGCTGCCGGAACGGGGCAGGGCAGGGTCCCCACAGGGCCGGGTCCTGTGGACGGGCTGAGGGCGGCCGCGTCCCCTCAGCAGGGCCGCTTGGCGGGGGCTGCTCCTGTGGTCCCGGAACCTCTCGCATCCCGTTCGGAGGTCTGCCCGACCTGGCTTCTGCCGAGACCACGCTGACAGACTTACCCCTTCTGTTGCACTGCGGCCGCAGATTTTTATTATTATTACTAGTTCAGTAAGGCACACAAAATGCTGGGAGAGGTACGGGGACCGAGAGTAAAAAGGTGTAACTGCAGGGCCTGGCCTTAAAAATAGGTGCATTGAAATGAAAGCTTTTTCCTTTTCAAAGTAGTGAAGTCGAGACCACTGGCCTTGGTGACCCAGATCACACAACCACAGCTTGTGTTCCCTTACCTGTTAAAAGAGCAGATGCCCTTACACCAGGCTGTTAAAGAGTTTGGTTTGTTACCTATGAAATCCAGAGATTTTAGATGGCGCTTGGTTGGAAAATAAGTGTGTTGTCTGCAGCAGTTGTATGCGCAGATCTGTGGCTCAGGTGCACTTAAATCGACACGTGTGACGCTCTTTGGAGTGGAGGGAGCAAGGCAAAGAGCTGTGCTGCAGTGCCTTTCCTTTGTGCCAGCAAATAAATTTGCCTTCATTCCGTTTGTATGGGGTTTGTACTGGTTTCTAAGTATGCAGTGTAGAAAACTGCTGTTACGCTGTCTCAGTGCAGTTCAGAGAGGTTATACTGGGACTTTATGGCTGCAGCAGGCAGTGTAGCTGAAACACAGGCAACAGGATTAAAAACAAACAAATTTAATCACGAAGTAAATATCAAAAATCTACCTTTTCATGCATATCATACAGGCAGCACCATGAAATCTCATGGCTGTCAATAAATCCAAAAAATTTACACTTCCGTCAGTCACCTTTTAAGAAAAACTCAGCTTACACCATTCTGAGTACAGCATGTTCTAAAGTTCTTGGTTATGGGAAGGCAGTTGTGTTTCTTCCACATACTAGATCTATCCCTTCATAATGGAAAAATGCCCAGGTTTTGAATTAATTGATGTTTTGAAGCCTTCAACAAAGGTGCAGCTGGCATTTCATGAGATTAGTTTCTTAATGTTTGACATTTTATCTAGTTCCTTCCTGAAGTTTTCTTTCCTGTGTAATTAGTTAGGGCAAATTATGATTTTTGTGGTATAAACTTGCATTCAAAGTTCAACAGAGTGCTGTGTGGTAATCACACCAGTTATAAAGAAAATAAAAGCAAAAGCTGAAAGTCCTTAGCACGTTATTGGAAGTGCAGAGCGACTTTACCAGTTTGGCTGTATTTGGAGAAATGTGCCACACTGACCTTGATACAGGGGAATTTTTAAGAGCAGCCATACAGTAACTTGAAAATCACCTTAATATTTACCTTTTTTGATTTACAGGCTTCTATTGAATAAGTTGCTTTTATAAACAAGCTTGAAATGAGGGGCTTAATACACAGATATTCAAATAAATTGAGGGTTTTTATGTGTAAAATGTTCAGTGAATTGTAGCCCATACTTGTTAACCTAGAAATCAAACAAGATAATTGATGAAATTATGGATTAATATGATACTGAATAGGAAGTATACTTAATTATGGGTTTGGGGGTTTTGTTGTGTTTTTTTAAACAGTGTTTAGAAAAGTATTGGAAGGAAGAGGGAATACCTTTTATTGTAGGCCATTTCTTTTTTTAGACCTTTTGGTGTGCCTTTTTGGTCTTGGAACCTCTTCTTCCTGTGTTTTGGATTGTTTTTTTACATGTTTAGGTTTTAACCTCTTCCACTGATATGTATAGAAACCATCACAGCAGTCTCAGCCTTTTTTTAGACCTTTTGGTGTGCCTTTTTGGTCTTGGAACCTCTTCTTCCTGTGTTTTGGATTGTTTTTTTACATGTTTAGGTTTTAACCTCTTCCACTGATATGTATAGAAACCATCACAGCAGTCTCAGCCTTTGGGCATGCAAACTTTTAGATGAAGAAAACCCTCTGCTTGTTAGATTCATCTTGGAACAAAAGCAACATTGCGTGGCTGAGCCATGTATGGGACCTCTAAGGCCAACACTGATGGGTTCATAGCTCAAACTGGAAAACCCCATTAATGTTGTATGAAACAGCGTGTAGTAAATGCCAACCTTAAAGATAACTGATTTTCTTTCTAACTTTTCTAAATTTGGTGTGCAGAAGGTTTGCGTTGACATAATCATGTGTCTGTAGGTACATATATGTACACACATGCTCTAAAACATAAATGTTGATGACAGAACAAACATCACTTATTATCATAGCAAAAAGCCAAAATGTGGTTATGGACATTTTCCTTTTTTGTTTAGAAAGGTTCCTTTGTATTGGAATCTGTAGAAAGCTAATACATATTTCTGTTATGAAATGACGTTGTAGTGCATAGATGTAATTGGTGCTTTAACTTCCAAGTGTAAAGACATTCCAGCTCTAATGAACGGGACTTTAAGGAGCTAAGACTGGTCTTGTATATTGCAGCTGAATTAAAAAGAGCACTTGTTCTTCCCAGAGGAAAGACAAATAATTAGTGTGTTAGAATTTGAGTAGTAATACAAAAGGTGCTAAAAAATTACCTTGAAATTAGTTTAAGTTTTTTTGACCTAGTAAGATACTTTAACATCCCCAATATTGAAAAAAAAATTAGAAAGAACAACTTGTATTCTTAAGGTTTAAATTTCATAAGTGGAATACAGTATGCAACTTTTAAAATAAAGAATTCTCAAGACATTTTTCTGATTTTTGTTTTTCCTGTCTTTACTTTCCAATTGACCAGAAATGTGCTGAAACAGACACTACAGAAGGAGGCTAAAGATACGAGGTAAGTGCTGTATCTTACACTAAAACTTTACTTACAGGGTTTTTTTATAAAGCCACTACTTATAGTGAGCAGTCTCACTTTAAATTGTGCTGGGTATATAATCCTGTTAAAATGGAAGGCTTTCCAGAAGATATGTTCTCATACAAACAGGAACTTGGATATCATTACTACCTGTGTTACATAAGCTAAGAGTAAGTTATTGTGATATTTTTGGTTTGCCATTTGATTTTAGTTGTTTTTAATCACCTCTTAGAATTTTGACTTATTAAATAGTCTTCTGTTGATTAAATGATATTTTCTTCTTTTTTAAAGGACTGTAATGCTTTCAAACCTTTACAAATTATGTTAGACTTTTTCTAAATGTTAATAGTTTTTGTATTGGTAGGTAAAACTTTGGCCTGTATAGCATTTTGTTGATTTTTGATTCAGGCTAGTACCAGCATAGCACCAGAGCATGTCACAGCACTTCCAAAGTGCACCAGATCCAATGTGTTTTGATTAAATAAATCCAGGTATAATGAGGAGAGGAAACTTCCTTCTTGAAGGGAGTTATGAAGAATGTTTAATGGCTGCTGATAGGATTCTGTTTCAGTAGGTATTAGGAAGGGACCCAAGCAGCTTCTTAAAATAAGGAACTTGGGTTATGTCAACTAAAACATTCTCATTTCTCTAACTGTATGCATCTCATGTTCGGTTGGTACCTAAATGGTGAAAATTGCAATCCTACCCCCTCCCTCATCATCTTCTGTATAGGGGAAAAGGGCTTTGTTGGGGTGAAGGGATTGCTTCATTTTGGAATAACCAAGACAGAGCATCAAGCTTAAAGCCTCCCTGATAATTTCCACTGAGGCCCCTCTAAGGTGAACTAGAGCTTTGTCTCCACCTCTACAGAAAAAAACAGACAGTGCACACAACTTCCATGGTTAACTGCTCCAAAGAAGGGAGGAACAGCAAGATGTACAAAACTTCCTGGATATCCACAGAAGGTGGGATATGTCTGGAGCATTGATGTATTCCAGCAAAGCCCAGAACTGTAGGGGTAGGCAAAAAATTAGCAGCTGGAAACACTTAAAGATGGGGAGCTTCCTTTAACCTGAAGGTAAAGTGTGCTTTAGGATTGCATTCAGGCTATGTAAAGAAGGGCCAGTTTGATTAGACTTGGCAAACCAGTTCATTTCATGTCCCTGCTTAGTAAATCTGCAGCCTTTGTTTCTTGCTGTGAATATAGCTGTTACTTTTTTAGCAGCATGCCTAAAAAAAGAGATCAACAACTGAAATTAAGCCTGTTCACACTTGACAGCCATGACTGTTTCATGTTTGCTTCTTTAAATGGAATTATTCTGTGTTGTGTTGAGCACAGGGAACCAATATTGCTGCCATTGTTTCTTCAGCATTTTTATCACCTGAAGTTCAAGAGCCTAAATTGCATTATATTTATTATGGAATAAAACTTTTTCAAACTTTTGTTCTGCATTAAAGATTGACAGCTTCTGTAAAACTACTCTTTGGGGTTGTTGAGGCTTTGTTGGAGCCACAGCCACAAAAATCTTCCGTATCATGAAACTCCAAAGCAAATGCACATTACAGAATTTATTAAAGTGTTCGGATTACTGTTATTAAATCCAGATGTTAATGTAATGGGTTTGCACTTGTGCAATAAACTGAATCTCTGTGATTGTTGACTAAGTAGACAGTATTTTAAGGTTTCATGTTTGAGTACTTGGCTAAAGCCATTAATTAAATGTTTGAAAACTGGCTTAAACCTGGGCATAAGGCCAAAAGCAACAAAGTGAGAGAGAAGTCATGGTTAAGCTCATTTTTGATCTTCACACTGACTAGTGAAATACAAATGAACAAACATGCTAAAAATAAAGAAAAAGCCCACTGATTTTCTACCCTTCTCCAACTGCGAATTTATGAGGTAATAGGCCCAAATTTATATCTCTAAAAAGGACGGACAATTACATTTTTATTTCCACTTTTTGTTTCTAATGTCAGAAGTCTGTTGGAACACTGGGAAACTGCTGAAAACTTGATTACAAACTCTAGAGACATGAAAATTAGTTTGCCAGTCATTCTTCATTAGAAATGTAAAAGAAGTAGCTCATAAAAATTTAGCAGAGAAACTTGTTAATAGAATTCAAGTTAGCATGTTCCAGTAAGTCCAGTTAATACCCATAAATGGTTCTTGTATATCACGAAGTGGTAAGTTTGTAAGTATTTCCTACACAAAAAGCAAAATAAAATAGAAGCATAGAATGTGAGCTACTGCCATTCTCTGTAATAGAGTGCTGTCTCAATTCCTAATTTTGTTCCCCTTTTTTGAAAATGAAAATGTATTGTTTGGTGAAGTTGTCATCCAGAGAAGCTTTAAGCATGCATTTATGAGACTAACTGGGTTGCAGAAAGTGGAACACATGCTTAAAGCTTTTCAGGATTTAGAACCATGTGTTAGTAAAGCTTCAGGAAAGTAATAGTTGTGACTTAACATAAGCAAAGAAATCTGTATATGAATGTCACTTTTACATTGACAGATTTTCAGTGTAAATTGTGAATTATGTTTTTAGTAAGTGTTTATACTTAAATGTTATGTGAGACAACACATGATGTCACCATTACCTCATTTTGTGTTTTAAAACATTGTGTAAGTTGTATGTGTTACCAGTATTTTGTATGTTGTGAATGAGCCATCTTCCTCAGCACGTTTTGTTCTTTGATGTAAGTGCCTTTGGAAGTGTGAAAGCAAAGGGGGGTGTGTGTGTGTGTGTGTGTGTGTGCTTCTGTAGTCTCTCCTTGGTGGTAACTGAGCAGACAAGGGCCTCGGAATATGGGTCCTTCAGAAGTGGAGCTTGCTGAATATACTGAGATCACTGTACAGAAATTAATGTTCACTAATGTTCATTAAAGAACACTTTATGTTCATTGGAGTTGGTCTGAGGCGTTCCCTTTTTGTATTATTTTAGGAGGTTTTGAATGGACTAACAAATCTCTCAAATATTTTGGAGCGTTTGTTTTTTCATTGTTACTGTTACTTGGTACATTAATTTTTTAGGATTTTCTCTTTTAATAATACCATTTAAAAAAAAAAATCTTTCAGTGGAAAATACAACTCAGGACAGGTAACCAAAGGAAATGCCTTAGCGTTTTGCTAATGATTTTCAATGTGTAAGCTGTACTTTTTGTGCAGCTGTGTTCTTTATAAATATACCTAGTATATTTATATATATAAATATATATATACAGCTAGTATATTTATAAGGGTTTTGTTAAAGCCTTGGGAACTATCTGAATTAGGAAAGAATTTTTAAAATCTTAAATGAGCTCTTGACACCATTTAATAGTGATGTGTCAGATTTGCTGTTAATTCAGATCAATGAAATACTGAGTTTGTATGGCAGTATGCTTGTTCACACATTTTCCTCTCATGGTTATGGTTGTGCTTGCTTTGCATCCAACAGGAGGAAATAAATGGATATATGTTTCTTTAGTAGGAATATTCTGAACACAGATAAATTCAGACTCTCATTGGTTGAGTGTTACTGTGCAGCAGCATTGGCTATGACATTGAATGCAGAACTGTCAATGAAGAGGTGTGTTTGCACATCAGTTCTCTTTAAGTTTTTCACTGTTATAAAGTTGGGGGGGGGGGGGGGGGCTCAAGTAAATTGCAGAATTGAATGCTTGTACTTCAGAGGAGTAGATGAGCTTGAGCTGATTAATGTGTCTTTGCAAACCTCGACCTTTTTTCTAGTAAGAAATCCAAAACTTAAATACATTGCAAGCTTGAAGTGCTAATACTACCTGCTATCCCTGAATGCTGAGGAAATGCTCCAAAAGCAAAGGGTGGTCAGTTAACAGGTTGGTTGTCTGGGACTTGTAGTTATTTCTTTAAAAATTTCCAGTATTTCTGTAGTTTGGCTTATACCAATGAGAATAATCATGTCATCATCATAAAACTGTGTGTGAAGCTACAGGAGTGACTGAAAACCTCACCATTTTCTAATTAATGTATTCAACACTGTATTTGGATTTGAAGTTTCTCAAAAGCAGAAGGGTTTTAATACCTGGTTTATAAGGGTGTTTCCAGTAAATTCCAAAGAAGTTACTACTTATTATACAGTCATATGGGTTATTTACAGTAATGTTTGTTTATGTTAATGTCAGACAGTACAGCAGCACTCATATACTTGTGCTTGGTGTAAGATAAAGGGTTTTAAATGCTATCGGTTTCTGCAAAATGTAAACAGTCTTTATGGTTATAGGAATTATAAATCTTCAGTGTGAATTGAGCTTTAAATAATTCAGTCTACATCTGTAGACAATTTCAACCACCTTTCTTTGCTCCTATGAATAACACAGTAGAACTGGTGATTTCTTCTGGAATCAGATCAGCATGGTGAGGCAAACTGTTGTAGCTGTGATAGATCCATTTTGAGTGGTTAATGGCTCCCTCTTTTGCCATATGTTCCATCCTTCCTCTGTTCTGCCAGTTTTACCATTTGACTGCTCTTTGACCGGGTCCTGTAAAATATGCCTGATTTTTAAAAAACCTTTGAAACAGCACTGGGAAATCAGAAAGGTGGAATCTCTGGGAAAGGTTGAAATGCGCATAGTAACAACCTGCTTCAGCCAGTATTTCATCTTTCTCTGCCCTGAGAAAGTTCTAAGCAGGAACAAAGGTGAGCAATATGGAGACAAACTAGAAATCTGAAACAGGGTGAATAAAACACAAGAAGGTACTTCTGCTTTCTACAGACTAAACCAGATTGACAGTTGACGGAAGGCTGTTGCACATAGGTAGAGTTATACATCTACTGTTTCTCAAGCACTTGGGGCCAGTAATGGGGCCAGAAGGTAGTCCGAATGATAGAATTCAGTAGCATCTCTTTGATCTGTCTGTAGGTAGGTTTTTGAAAGCTTAAACCAAGCCTTGTGCTGGCTGGTTGAGAGAAGAGGATATATTAAGGATGGATGGTATACAGAGCACTTTTGAGAGGTAA